TCTCTTAGAAAAATAGAGGTACAGGCTGGGTGTGGTGGCTCACACGCCTGGAATCCTAGCACTTTGGGAGGCCGAGGCGGGCAGATCACGAGGTCAGGAGATTGAGACCATCCTGGCTAACACGGTGAAACCCCGTCTCTCCTAAAGATACAAAAAATTAGCTGGGCGTTGTGGCAGGTGCCTGTGGTCCCAGCTGCTCGGGAGGCTGAGGCAGGAGAATAGTGTGAACCTGGGAGGCGGAGCTTGCAGTGAGTCAGGATGGCGTCACTGCACTCCAGCCTGGGCAAAAGGGCGAGACTCCGTCTGAAAAAAAAAGAAAAGAAAAATAGAGGTACTCCGTTACAATCAGAATGTTGGTCGAAATATGGACAGTAAGACCATTCCAATGAAGTCTCAGATGGAAATGAGGAACAGAGTATTGGAAACTGGAGTAAAGACCATCCTTGTTATAAAGCAGCAAAGAACTTGGCTGAACTGTGTCCATGCCTGAGGGCTTTATGAAAGGCAGAACTTGAGAGTGATGAACTGGAATATATGGCAGAAGAAATATTTCAACAGCAAAGCATTCAGGCTGCTGCATGACCACTTTTGGCTGTTTATAGTAAGATGAGAGAAGAAACAGAGGGGAAAAATTCTGGAAAATTCACAGCCTGGCCATGTGGTAGAGAATGAAAGATCATTTTCAACAGAAGAAACCAAGGATGTGAACAAGTGACCAATTAATGGGAGAATTAGAATGACTGGAAGAAAGCCAGAGGCTCTTTGTTATGACAATGGAAGAAAACCCCTGAAGGCATTTCAGAGCTCTTTGAGGCTGCCCGTCCCATTACAGGACCAGAGGTATAGGAGGGCAGAGTGGTTTCGGGGATAGGCTGCTGCCCAAGATCACTTTGGGTCTCTGTTCCCTGCATTTCAAGGCAGGGCTCCTCAGTGCCCCATCCGTGGCTCAAGCAGCCCCAGGTACACGTTGATCTACAGCTCCAGGAAGTATAAGTTGTAAGCTGTGGTGGCATCCATGTGGTGCTAAGTCTGCAGGCTTCCAGAATACAAGAGCTATGGGGGTATGACTGCCTCCACCTATGTTTCAAAGAATGTCTTGTACTGGAAGCCCGAGCAGAGACCTGCCACAGGAGTGGAGCTGCCACAGAGAGCCTCTATTAGGTAAATTCCCAGCAGAAATGTAGGATTGAAGCCACCATAGAGAGTCCCAGCAAGGGCAATGCTTAATGAAACCATGGGAGCAGGACCTAACTATAGGGCCACCAGCATGCAAACTAGCCTGGCAGAGCTGTGATGTGGCTTGCACCCAGCAAAGCCACTGGGGCAGGGCTTCTTGAGACCTTGGGGCCAAGCCACTACTCCAATGTACCTGGGATGCAGGACACTGAGTCTAAGGACATTGTTCTCTAACTCAAAGACTTACTGTTGTTTTTCCTGTTGGGTTTTGGACTTACTTGGGACCTGCTACTCCTTTCATTTTGCCTATTTCTCTTTGGGGGTGGGGATGGAGTCTCACTCTGTCACCCAGGCTGGAGTGCAGTGGTGGAATCTCAGCTCACTGCAACCTTTGCCTCCTGGGTTCAAGCAATTCTCCTGCCTCAGCCTACTGAGTAGCTGGGATGACAGGTGCCCACCACTACGCCCAGCTAGATTTTTGTTGTTGCTCTTGTTGTTGTTTTGCATTTTTAGTAGAAATGGGGTTTCACCATGTGAGCCACGGGAGCAGGACCACCAAGGAGACCACCTAACTGTAGGGCCACCAGCATGCAAACCAGCTTGGGAGAGCTGTGATGTGGCTTGCAGCCAGCAAAGACACAGGGGCAGGGCTTCCTGAGACCTTGGGGCCAAGCCCCTTCTCCACTGTACCTAGGATGCAGGACACTGAATCAAAGGGTGATCTTGAAATCCTGACCTCAGGTGATCCACCCTCCTTGGCCTCCCAAAGTGCTGGGATTATAGGTGTGAGCCACCATGCCTGGCCCATTTTTGCCTATCTCTGCCTTTTGGAATGGGAATGTATACCCTATGCTTGTACATAGATAATATATTTTGATTTCACAGGCTTACAGATGAGACTTGGACTTTGGACTTTGGAGTTGGTGCTGGACTGAATTAAGACTTTGGGGCTATGGGGATGGAATGAATGTATTTATATGTGAGAAGGATATGAGTTTTGTGGGGCCAGGAGTGGAATGCTATGGTTTGAATATTTGTCCCCTCCAAAACTCATGTTGAAATTTAACCCCCAATATGGCAGTACTGAGAGATGGGCCTTTAAGAGGTGATTGGATCATGAGGGCTCACCCCTCAAGAATGAATCAATCTATTCATGGTTTAATGGATCAATAGGTTAATGGGTTTTCACTGGAGGGGAACTGGTGGCTTTATAAGAAGAGGAAGAGAGGTCTGAACGAGTGTGCTAGGCACTCAGCCCCACTGCCATGTGATGCCCCATATCCCCTCAGGACTCTGCAGAAGGTGCCACCAGCAAGGAGCAAGAAGCCTTTCCCCAGATGCAGTCCCTTGACCCTGGATTTCTCAGCCCCCAGAACTGTCAGAAATAAATTCATTTTCTTTATAAATTATCCAGTTACAGGTATTTTCTTTTAAGCACACACACACACAAAGACTAAAATGGGTGGATTATAACACTTACCAATAACTATCCCTTTAAAACGTTTTTTTCTTGAAGTCTCTACTTTGATATTAATGTAGTCACTTCAGCTTTTTTTCTCTTTGTATTAGTTTGGTATTTTTTTTTAAACTATGCCCTTATGGTAATACACCTATCTCATTAGATTTAGGTATATCTTATAAACATATAGGTGTTTTTGTTACATCTTTTTTTTTTTTGTTTGTTTGTTTGAGATGCAGTCTCACTCTTTCGTCCAGGCTGGAGTGCAGTGGCACGATCTCGGCTTACTGCAACCTCTGCCTCCCGGATTCAAGTGATTCTCCTTCCTCAGCCTCCTGAGTAGCTGGAACTACAGGCACGTGCCACCATGCTTGGCTAATTTTTGGATTTTTAGTAGAGATGGGATTTCACCGTGTTAGCCAGGATGGTCTTGATCTCTTGAACTCGTGATCCTTCCGCCTCGGCCTCCCAAAGTGCTGGGATTACAGGCGTGAGCCACCGCACCCAGCCAAGAATACTTCTTTAACAACTATTTTAAATGTTACGAATACATTATCACTTAACAGTAAATCTTACAGGTTTCACAGCTCACTGCTATTTTGTCTAGACTACATCTTTCGATTTCTTGAGGTCTTTATTCTGATTCATTTGTTATTTCAGCAGACTACTTCCTGCAATAGTTTTCTTCATAAAGAGTGTTAAGAAAGAGGCTCTCTGGTCCTCCAGTGCTGAAGCGGTTTCCTTTGTCCTCAGAGAGGAGTGAGCCTTTACCTCAGAAGCTGTAAATGTTGTCCCACCATCTCTCTCAGCATTTATGTAGCAAACACTAACTTCAGTGTCAGCTCCAGTATCTTTTCTATGAAATGACCTGTTTATTCTGAACCTGATAGAAGTTTCTATGCATCCTTTGAATTAACATTTTTCATCAGCATACCACTCAGTGTGTGTTTTCCTCTATAGAATTTCCTTCACTGTGCCAACTTTGTTCCTGCCTTGGAGGCCTTGCACTAGCTCTTCCTTCTTTTCGGAATGATCTTCCCCCAGATACTGCAAGGCTGCCTCCTTCCCACCATTAGCCCTCACTTCAAATCCATCAAGTCCTTTTCTGACCACCATATCTAAAACATCTCCTAATCATTGTCATCATCTATCGCATTCATTATGCTGTTTTATTGTCTTCAGAAGTGTTTATTATGGTCTGATATTATCACATTTATTTTTTTATGCTGATTGTCTTCCCCTCACAACTGGAATGTAAACTCCATGGAAGCCTCTCCTGTCTTATTTTCTACTCTATCTTTGGCTCCAATAATCGTGCCTAGCTCATAGGAGAAGCTGAATGAATGAAGAAGAAATACCAGGAGCTGCTTTTCCTCTTTCTAAGATTTTCTAAAAGATTTTCCATGTGATCTGTCCTCCTCTTCCTATTCAGTTTGCTAACTATCCAACCATTCTTCTGGTCTACCTCAAGGCTTTTGGTTAGAAGTAAAATAACACCCCACCCCCCAACCCCCGCACACTTGCAAGAGGGCAAATGGATACACACGGAATGAAGTTAAAGGAACTCTAGCATATTGGACAGCTGAATTATTCAGCTGACTTAATGAAGTTCACAAAGTTCCTGGAGTATTTGGTAGAACTCCTGTCCTCTGTTTGACATTATTTAAATTATTATCCAGTTCTTACTTCTGTTTACCGCCTAGTCACAGCCAAAGAGTATTGAATGCTGCTTTTGTTGTGCTTTGTAAATATGATTCAATAGATAATCAAGATTACAACTGTAAACTAATCTGTTTTTGTTAGAGATTGAGTTTAATATGATTTGGTTTGGCCGACCTAACCAGGCTTGGCAATGGAAGTTACTCTCAGAAATCTAATGCCAATAGTAAGGCCACTTTCTTCAGATATTATGCCTGGAGCATATAGTGAAGACTAGAAACCTGGGTTCCCCACACTGCTGTTTTTGCTTTACCACACCATAATCTTGCTTAGAGAAGCACAGTCAAAGTTATAAGCTGCTGTGACTAATTTTAACAATGAGAAAGTTTTATTCTATTAGTACATATTACGGGTGTTATATATTTACTGAATGTAGGCAGAGATGAATATAAATAAATACTAAAAAGAGTTCAAATGAGTGATGAGTTAGGCTTTGCTTTTAGTTATGAAATCCTCCTTGAATGAAAGGGGATCACATTGAAGAAACAGAAGGAAGAGGAAGGTGAAAGTTTGGAAAGACTGGGAAACACTTGTGCTTAGATACATATATGCAATGACTTGATGTTGAGTGTCTACAAAATTCTCATCATTTCCTATTTGTCCACTCTATAAAACTCAATTTGTAATAGAGATTGCTGAACAGGAAATGCGATGGCTGCTTGGAAGCTAGTAGTTACAGTGCTATTCACCAAATCTTACCAGTGATGAGAGACTTCTCAGAGTTCCTTTTTCTTCTGGCATGATGACTAGCAGGGGTCCTCTGGTGGCTGCTCCATAAGCCTGGGTCCTGGAGTAAGTATGATAGAGATTAGAGTTCCCAGCTGAGCACCAAGGATCATATATTGATCACACATTGTGTACTAGAAATAAATCTTTCTTGCTTTGAGATACAGTAGATCACGAGGTCAGGAGATCGAGACCATCCTGGCTAACACGGTGAAACGCCGTCTCTACTAAAAATACAAAAAATTAGCCGGGCGTGATGGCAGGCGCCTGTAGTCCCAGCTACTTGGGAGGCTGAGGCAGGAGAATGGCACGAACCCAGGAGGCGGAGCTTGCAGTGAGCTGAGATTGCACCACCGCACTCCAGCCTGGGCGACAGAGCAAGACTCCGTCTCAAAAAACAAACAAACAGAAAAAAGATACAGAGATTTGGGATAGTTTGTTATTGCAGCATAACCTAGCCCACCCAAACCAATACACAGAGCTTACACAGCCTACTTCAGTGGGAAAATTTATCTAATCTCTTGCTTCAAATATCATTTCTCAGTCTTTTTCTCCTTTTTTTTTTTTTTTTTTTTTTTTGAGACAGAGTCTCACTCTGCTGCCCAGGCTGGAGTGTAGTGGCATGATCTTGGCTCATTGTAACCTCTGCTTCCTGGGTTCAAGTGATTCTCATGCCTCAGCCTCCTGAATAGCTGGGATTACAGGTGTGTACCACCACACCCAGCTAATTTTTTTTTTGTATTTTTAGTAGAGATGTGGTTTCACTGTGTTGGCCAGGCTGGTCTTGACCTCCTGGCTCAAGTGATCCACCCACCTTGCCTTCCAAAGTGCTGGGATTACAGGTGTGAGCCACTGTGCCCAGCTGCCATTTCTCATTCTTACTCTCTGACATCTCAGTCTCTTTCCTGTTTCTTATGATCCTCCACCAGCTTTTGGATTTTACTTCAGCATTACATCTTAAAAAAAAATTTTTTTTTAACTTTTATTTTAGGTTCTGGGTGCATGTGCAGGTTTCGTATACAGGTAAACTCACATCACAGGAGTTTGCTGTGCAGATTATTTTGCCACCCAGGTAGTAAGCTTATTAAAAAGTCAAAAAATAACAGATGCTGGTGAAGTTGCAGAGAAAAAGGAACATTTATTCACTGATGGTGGGCGTGTAAATTAGTTGAACTATTGTGGAAAGCAGTGTGGCAATTCCTCAAAGAGCTAAAAGTATTACATCTTGAATCTTACTGCCTTACCCAACTGATAGGCACAAATAAAAACATGTATACTTTTAAAAAAATTATTTTCATTTTTTCTTCAGATATCGTGACTTCAAAAACATATATAATTTTTAAAAATAACTTAAATTCCAAGAAAAAAAATAAAAGAGTGAAAAGATCTGGTGGGAAAGTATCAGAGAAAATGGGACAAAAGAGGCCGGGCACGGTGGCTCACACCTGTAATCCCAGCACTTTGGGAGGCTGAGGCAGGCTGATCACAAGGTCAGGAGATCGAGAGCATCCTGGCTAACACAGTGAAACCCTATCTCTACTAAAAATACAAAAAATTAGCCAGGTGTGGTGGTGGGCACCTGTAGTCCCAGCTGCACAGGAGGCTGAGGCAGGAGAATGGCGTGAACCTGGGAGGCAGAGCTTGCAGTGAGCCGAGATCTGCACCACTGCACTCCAGCCTGGGTGACACAGCGAGACTCTGTCGCAAAAAAAAAAAAAAAAAAAGGGACAGAAGAATAACATTGTGTAAGATTTCCAGCATGTACTCTCTGTTCATTTCCTATTCCTTTCATTTCTTCATTCATGAAACAAAATATTTAGCATTTGCTATGAGCCAATTTTAACCATCAGGATAAAATGGCAAACAAAAGCCATGAAAATTACAGTCTAGCTGAAAAGACAAAATTAATCAAATAATTATACAAATAAATGTAAAACTATAATAGTGATAAGTACTATGAAGAGGTGATGCACACATTATGTATCCATATCTATTGTCTGTCCATCTAGAATGATTAAGCAAATGTAAGACATTCAAAATTAGAGTATGTTGCTATATAGAAATAATGGTGTACAGAAATTCTTGGTACTATTCTTGCAACTTTTCTGTATGTGTAAAATTATTTCAAAATTAAAAAGGCTTTTTCAAAGCAGTAACTGGTGTGGTGGTGTATGTACACTTATTAGACAGAATTAGCTGGGTTGGTTATCTCTGTTTAGTACTTGATTCAAACTTGACCAAATTATATTGCCTGGCATTTTAATTCCTCTTTCTGTATCAGTGCTAATCATTGTCCCTGCAGAATCCTGTGGCCCATACATGGTAATAAAATGAATGAAAAATCCATTGTAAATTACACTTTGTATTAAAACAAACAAACAAAACTCCCTGCCTTTTTTTTCTATTTTAAAGAGTGATATGTAATTAATATGTAAAATTAGGAAAGAATACAATAAGTCTGATAAAAATGAAAATTACTTACAACTCATCAGTCAGTGATAATCACCGTTAACATTTTGGCAAATTTCCATCATATATTTATGTTTTACATTTAGCAGTATGAGTTGTCTGTTGTGTGCAGCAAATTACCCTGAAACTTAGCTGTTTAATACAATACACATTATTTCACATAGTTTCTGAAGGTCAAGAATCTGAAGCCACTCAGCTGTGTGGTTCTGAATCAAAGTTTCTTATGAGGTTGCAGTTAAGTCATAGGTACGGTAGCAGTCAGTTGAGAGCTGGGGAATTAGTGTCCAACTTCATTCATGTGGCTGTTGATAAAGAGGGTTCAGGCCCTCAGCAGGTAAGCCTCTCCGTAGAGCTCACATAATATGAAAGCTGCCTTCCCCCAGAGGAAGTGATGAGAGAAAGAGACAGAGAGAGGGGGAGAGAAGACAGAATGTGCAGACCTTTATAACCTAGTCTCGAAAGTGAGATATCATTTCTGCTGTATTCCATTGGTTGTAGTAGTGTAGGAGATCCCTACACAAGCATGCAAATACCAGGAAGCAGCCGATGTTGGGGGCCATCTTGGAGGCTGGCAATGAGATAACCCTCTACCATGAGCATTTTACCACTTTGCAAAAAAATTTCCTACATTACTTCAATATTTGCATTATATTGTTATAGGCCTTCAAATTCACATACAAAAGGGCATTATAAAGTTATGAGGCTATTTTTTCAACAAATACACCAGCACTTATCCATTCCTCCAAATCAGTGCTGTCTTTCAAACAGCTCACCTTGGGAACCTATGAACTTATTCTAGAGATGTCAGGCTGTTGTCCCAAACAAGCCTGGTGTTCCTTTTTGAAATTAGGACTGGACTGTTGCAGTATATAATTTTTAATAAACTCAAAGATGATATGAGGCAGTTATGTTAGCAAGTAGAATTGCTATAGTCTGAGGATGTTCCCCAAAATTCATATGTTGAAAGTGGTCAATGTCATTGTCTTATGCCGTGCTTAAGTCATGAGAATGGAGCATTCACGGATGGGATTAGGGTTTTATAAGAGGGCTTGTGGGAGGGAGTTTGCCTCCTTCCACCTCTTCTGCCGTGTGGTAACATGGTGTGAATCTCCTTTTCCTGTCTCTTCCACTATGTGAGGACAGAGCAATGAGGCACCATCTTGGAGGCAGAAAACAGGCCCTCACCAGACACCAAACCTGCTGATGACTTGATGTTAGACTTCCCAGCCTTTAGAGCTGTAAGAAAGAACTTTCTGTTATTTATAAATCACCGTTTTGTTATAGCAGCCCAAAAATTCTAAGACAAGAACATATGTTGGATTTATTCTTGTTCTGCTGCTGCTCCATTTGCAATACCAGACCAGATGTATTATTTAAAAATGTATTTTGACACCCAACTAAAGCTTAACAAAATGATATTTCTTAGCCAAATTAATCATCACATGAATGAACTATGGGTGTTCAACTATGGGTGAACATTACTGATTCAGAGATTTCTGCTCTTTGGGGTCTGAAAGGGTCCCCCACCCACAGCTACCTGCCCAGTGAGTATCTTGAAGTGTTTCTTCCCTAAGTATAGCTCTCAGGAGACATACTAGATTGATAGAAACTTACATTCTCCAGAGTATAATACTGTATTTATGTATTTACATAGCCATCAATTTTGCTGGCAAAAGAAAATTGTGGACTGGGAAAGCAACATGAAGGCCGAATCAAGGCTTATTTCACTTTGTTTCTTATGGTGCCTGGCACACAGTAGGCACCTAATACATGTTGCTTGAATTAATAACAGTGAAATTCTTGTGTTGTAAAAAAATTAATACTTGAACTAATAATACTTGCCTGGTAGTCTAAATCTTAAAAAGATTCATACTGATGTTTGGTGCTGGGGTTTCCTTTTTTCACTATGACGTTGCGACATTGAAGAATTTCTTCATTTTTCTTACAGTCCTGCAGTAACATTAGTTGGACTAAAATTGACAGCATGCTCAAAAACATGGACATGTTTTTTATGTCCAAACTCCCCAAGTAAACAAAACAAAAAAAAATCACCACTAAAAACAAATACCCAAATTAATATCAGAATTTTAAAACTGGAATCATCTTCTAACTGTCCTTGGAGTTGCAATAGGTTTAGTTGTGCCATCTCTATACTAAAAGCCACTGCAGTTACTGGTTTTCTCTAAGACATCTAGAAAGATGTATGTGTGTGCCATATATGTGGTCATCATAACTTTTTCAAACAACTGCTCGGGGACAGGATGAGGCAGTGGGGAAATGAGCAAAATGCTACCATTCTCCCAGAAAGTTAATGTTACATGAGTGGCTCTCTTTTGGAGGAGGAAAACAGTCCAGTTTCAAAGCTAGCATAAGCATTACACTCGCCACTCTCTCACTTCCTTACAGGGGGGACGGGAGAGTCTGTAATTTCATGCCAAGCTCTCCAACGACGACGTGGCATGGCTTTTTGCTTTACCTGGCTTCTTCCTATATTAAAGGGATAATTTATACTTCTAAAAGGAATTAAAGGCAGTTCCATTGTTGAAACATTGAGCCCAGACCATTACAAATAAAAACAGAACAAATCCTAAT